ACGGGGAGGCCCTGCGGTGGCGCCGGTTGGGCTTAGTCCATTTCTTGAAATTGAAAGCAGGGTGGGGTCTCTCGCTGTGAGACTTCATCAGGGCCTGCAGTGTGGCTTGGCACCCTGAGGGGGGGGCTCCGTGGCATCTTGTTCGTTTGCGGTTTGGGCACCAGGTTATCGGCATGGGACTGTGCCAACTGGGTCCTACCCCTGGCCCTGTGTTCAGAGCTGGGCGGCGTCCGACGGCGGAACTCAGCACGGCACTGTGGGCAGCTTGGACATGCCAGCCTCGCCCCGCACACCTGCAGGTTGCCGGGTCAGTCTCTGGGTTACCTTCCCGTATCTGTCCCAGCGGAGCGGCGTGGGGGCCTTGCCAGCCTCGGCGCCCGGTATCGGAGTCACCTTGGTGGAGCAGAAGCGAGCCGGCGGTCTGGTTGAAACCGTGGACAACAGGCAGTCCGAGGCCAGTCGCCTTGGGGTTGGTGAGGTCCTCATGTTCCTGTGGTCCTGCGTGCAGAATGCTCTCACGAGGGCGGAGTGGGTGTAGCATACTTTGGGCAGCGGCCGCCTGTACAAGGATGTATCCAGCTTTCCGCCGGTGGGGGTCTCGGCATCCTAGTGCGGTATCAGCCGTGCGGTCCAGCATCGCGGTCTGCATGGTACATTCCCGCCGAGTGGGCTGCTGTTCACACACCATGCAGACATGCTCGTTCTGGTAGCATTCCGGCCAGCCCTGACAAGTTATCGCGATCCAGGGCGATGTCGGTAGAGTGTGGGCTACCGTGCCTGCTGCCAGTGTAGTAGGCAGACCTGCTACCACTCGGCTAGCTGATGCGGGGAGGGCCCCCCAGTGCACCAAGGCAACCACCGGGATGGAGCTCGCCGTGAGCGGTGGCATTCTGCGACCTGGCCGGGCAAAGGTGCGCTGAAGAGCCAGGGCTGACGATAGGATATGGTCCAAGAGAGTGTCCTGCAAGGATAGCGGCGTGCTGCGCAGCGTTAGCACATGGTAGGTGCCACGGCCTGCACATGTCCCCTCTGGTGGCTTCCGGTCTTGGGCGAGCACTTTCCTGACTGAGGCTCCGACAGAGGCCGATCGTCGCGCAGCCGACCTATACGGGCGAGGTGGCGCCCGTGGCGGAGGCAGACATGGGCTTCGGTACCCGGGGTGGTGCCTCCCGGGCTAAGGACAGGAGCTTGAGGGTCCGACCTGGGCCAAGAAACATGGGGCGTAGGCTCGCTGACGGCAGTATGTAAGCAGTAGGCAGGGCCCATGTACTCGCAATCAGCTGATCGAGGCTTAGTCTTGCGGTCTGGTACCGGGGAGCCCTTCTCCTCTTCGGGAGTAAGGAACCAAAAGGGTCTCTGTACAGGGCGTGGTGGGCCCGAGCGACGATGCGGCTCAGTGTCAGCACGTTGGCTGCTCTTCCGCTTTACCCTGTCCCGGGCCTTCGTAGCCCCTGTTGTCTGGACGACTCGGCGGGCCGCCGCCCCTGTCTCCGGTGACTGGACATCGGCCTGCTCCGCGTTCCCAGTCTCCCCCAGTCCCTCGGGATTTCCAGTCGCCAGGCCATGCGAGCTCTGTGGCACTTCAGCCGCGGCATCTCCGGTCATCTGCTCCTCCAGGTGGGTGACCTTCGTCTCGGTCTTTGTCCCCCGGGCCGGTGGCTATGGCGGGCATCCGTCTGCAGTGTCCGTAGTTGCCGTGGTGCAGGTAGTCGGGGGTTGCGGACGTTTCTTCGGCTTCGGCTTGGCGTACTCCTTGGTCTCGCCTGCTCCGGCCTTGCTGGGGACGTCCGGGCTCTTCTCGCTGGGGCCCCGGGATCTCGGCCGCGGCGATCTTGACCTGACTCGGGTGGCGGTCGGCTCCTCCTGGGGCTTGTTGATCTGCTGGGTCAGCTGCAGCCGTCGCCGAGTGAGTCTGGACGTCAGGGTCACCGGCTGCCGCGGCTGTTTGTTTTCCGGTTCCTCCTCCACTTCCACCTCAACTCCTCCCACTCCTCTGCCAGCGGCGTCCTCGTAGCAGGGCTCATGCCAGGCCCTTTGTACTTGGGCGTAGGGTGGAGCCGTGGCTCTTTGGCTTCCTTCCGGTCCTCGGCCGTGGTCCCAGCTGACGGCCTGGCAGAGGGGTCAGAGCTGTCACTCGGCTTTGTTGAAATGCGCCACCTCAAAGACGCATCCATTCCATCATCCTGCGCCGTTTCCGTGGGAGCTCTGTAGGCGACATGCGCGCGGTCTATGGTCCAAACCTTCTTGCGTTCTGCAGCAGAGCCCTCCAGCACCCTTATATTGAAGGTGGCGGCATGCTGGTCCCTGCTCTTCAAGATGATGGCGTGGTAGCCGTGGATTTTGCTGTGCGCTCCTCCGACGACGGTCACGTCTGTGCCTGGTGTCAGCTCGTCGGCCCGACAAATCACCGAGTCGTCCAGTGGTCCCGGCAGCACTCGTGGCCTTTTCTCCCCATGACGAGTGGATCCGGAAGCTCCGGGAGAGGTGATCCCTGGTACGGGCAGAAGAAAGGCTGCAGGGTGGGCAACCATGCGTTGGCTCTTACACTGACACTGGCAGGAAGGCTGCTAAGGTCATGGGCTGCCGCTGTGCCATACACTAAGCCAGCGGCCGAGGAGTTGATGACCGATGTTCGTCTGGGACTACACGTCGTCCTGCAAGCTGGTCTCCTGTCCAGGGGCGCTGGGTCCGCGTGCCCAGGGTAACTTCGGTTACTGGCTGGGCTACCTCGCATCTCCAGAATGGGCAGCACCATCTGCCTCACACCGACCTGAGTATGAGGATGGTACACTTGACTATCGGCATGGTAGGCCGTGTTAGCTGGCGGTATCTGAACAGTGAGGGCCCGTGGAGCGCGTTCTTTTTGTCGGCTGCCTGGAAGAGTCGCATCCGCAGTGTGTGGTGCCGCGTCGGCACGGCTCCTGGCCTCTGTCTTCGCCTCCTGGACCTCATGGACCACCCGTACCACCCGGAGCCGGCTCGATGCAAATAGTAATGCGCCATCCTTGCACCACTCCTGAGGTCTTCGCCACCACTGAGGGGCCTCGCTCTCGTCGGTGGCGCCGCCGTGGTAGCTGTTGACCCATGTCCCGGCAAACTTGTTGGTAGCGGTGGCGGGCATGAGGATGGGGCTTTAGCCATAAGGCCAGGTCCAGGTCCAGGGGTGGCGTGCATGGCCGGAGTGGGCGGTGTCGATGACTCACTCGGGTGCTTCGCCGCCGCCGCGAACGCCAGGCTGGCCTGTAGGGCTGCATGCGGATCTGCGGCCGGGGCCTCGGCTGTCCTCGCTGCCGTAGTCTCCGTTTCCACAGCTGCCTTGGGGGGCGGCGGGCCGGCAGGTCTCCACATTCCAGCCTTCGGCGGGGATCTGCTCCGGGTGGAGGCACGGACTCCCGCCCCCTTCGGCAGGTTGACCGGAACCGGTGGCGGTGGCCCGTTGAGTTTCGGCGGCCCTGCAGACCCTGAAGCCGTGCCACCCTCGTCCTCCTCGCTGGACGTTCCCCACAGCCGCCTTCGAGTCTCTGGACTCGTGGCCGACGAGTCCGTGTCAGCCTCGCCCTTGGCTTTTGCCTTCGGCGCCTTGGCGGAGATCTTGATCTTTGGCGCAGCTCCTCGGCGGTTGGGAGGCATGCCGGCAATCTAGTCCAGCGGCACCGATTGGCTCGAGCCTCTTGCCTGCAAATGCTGTCAGTCTGCGGTAGAGCGGTATGTGCCAAGGCAGACTCATGCTGAGGGCACCTACCAGTACGATCAACGGGTTGCATCCGAGCGGTCTGTGCTGAAACTGACGCATTCTGAGGGCACGACCAGGCGTGAGCAGGCAGACGCGGAGGCGGAAGAGTGAGGTCTTGAGCCGCGTCGAGTATGCCCAAGGTGGTGGCCAGCACTAGGGAGAACAAGCGCAGAGGTAGCACGGGCAAGTGGATTCTCGGGTGATGGTGGCACCCTGCAGCTCCATCATGCGGCCTACGGACTAACATCATCACAGTCGCTCCTAAGCTGGAGCCAAGGGGCCTAGTAGCAGTAGCAGTAGCAGTAGCAGCCTTTCAGCCTTTCAGCACAGCAGTCGAGAGTCGACCGCCTAGTGGCGGATATAGCTGAGCAGGCGTTTGCCCGGCGCATTGCGCGCAGTTTGACTGCCTCTACACGCTAAGAGTGGTTGTTGTCACCGCCTCTCGAGGCCTAAGCATGACAACTTGTGGCATCCTGATGACTTCTCATATAAAGTAAGAGATAGCATTCTTCGGCACAATGTGACAACCCATTCACAGCAATTGCTCTCCGCCGATCATCACAGCTCCACGCCGCTTCTCCTCGCAGAAGAGTGGCCGTGTAGTGGCCAGTACGGGGGTGACTACCGTGATGGGAGATAACTGCAAAAAGGTCATAGAAGACGATACGTATGTCGAGGCCTTCATCTGCAAATCGAGGAACTGCAATCCTGTGGTTGACGAGGATTCTGTCTCTGCGCTTATGCACACGTCCAGACTGAACTGTATATCTCTCGAGCTGCATGGCCAACACCAAGGGCGGGGCAGTATACGCATGAAAAGCTGCTTGTGCACCAGACCAATAATCAATCAACGACTGAACCTGGAGAGTGGGCGATAAGCCCGGTGGTGTAGGAGGCAACGATAACAATAAAGGCTCAGTGCTTGACCCCGTGTCATTGATCGAAGTCACCCCATCCATAAAACGTCGAGCTTGCCATTGCCCCTGAACCAGTTGCACATGATGCCGTTGACATACAAAGGCAAAGAACTCTGACACGTCATGTTGCCTGCGATGCTCGGCCCACCCCGAAATCAACATACGCCACAGCATGTCCTTCGCCAGGTGTTTTACATGATTGAAATTGTGTGTGGAAAGTGTGCTGAAAAATCCTTGGCCAGTGCCCAGTTGTGCCAGAAGCATCGGCCGGAGATCAAGTAGCCATTGTATGGCCTGCACAACAGTGTTCATGTAACATGCATTGATACCCTCATTGCCCAGTTTGAGCCTCAAAGCCCGCGGATCATTTCCTTCAGCTTCTGGATGGCTGGGCTCGGCTTGAAGCTCTCTTTCTTGTAAGCCATGCCTCCCAACTGTAGAAGAGTGCACCCTTGTAGAGCCTGAAGGGAGTGCCAGGCTTCCAAGCTGGCTGGTGTCCTTGTTGTGAGGTCCAGTAAGAAGGTTGCCGTGGATTCCATGGTGTCCGACATGCGACGTGTGCATGCAAAGCGATGCACAACATCCGGCTGACCCAGCACTTCCACCAGCTTCTTCAGATGCTGGGCAATGGCCTGATCCGTTAACGGTGTACGTGTGGTGTCCTCCTGAAGGCAACGTAAGTTGTTGTTCCAGTACTGAAACTTCCATCCCACCGTCGGATCCCGCCAGCCTAGTTCCTGCACCTTCTTTGCGAGGGCCTCGTCCGAACAAGTTTTCTCCAGTCTCACCCCTAGCTTTGTAAACATTGCCACTGCCATGACCAGTTTCAAGGGTTGCTGGCCCGGAGCCCATGTGGGATTGGCCTGCTGTTTCTGCTTGAACAGTTTGGCTGTGTTGTAGAGGTGCGACAACATCTGATTCTCTCCCGGCCGAAGAAACATCACGATGGAGTGGTCCTGCTTCAAGATCTTGATCTCCTCGTCCTGTCGTACAACTTGCCTTGCCAAAGTAAGCAGTAAGGGGGATGACTCTGGACGTGTCTCGCGGTGGTGGTTGCCCGGAGGAGGCCGTCGCCGTTTGTTGCTGGCTCCCCCCCCCCTCCCATCGGTTCCGTCTGTACTTCCCCGAAGAACTGTGCCAGTTCGTCTTGTGGATCCGTCCTGCAAGAGACATATCACCGAACATTGCCAAATGACTGTACACTTCAATACATGCGCTCTCCAGTCCTTGCATTGAACATGGCAGTAATGGCAAGTAGGGCAGGCTGTGGCAGTACGTTTGATCAACCCTGGAATGCGGGACCCATACTCCTGGAGAACATCAGCATGGCTGTATTGGTAGTGTCGTTTCATTGTACGATGCGATGCTATCCACTGTCCACACAAGCCACAAGTCTGCCGCAAGGCCGAGGTAACTTCTTTGAAACGAATGAAATGATTCAATCCTTTCTTTGCTGCCGCAATCACGCTGGGTTGTTGGAAGATAGTCGAAGTTTGTGCGTGATCGTTGTCAAGTGTTCCCGCGGGAGGCATATGAGCATAACCTGGATCTGCAGTAGATACCATAGTGGTCACAACAGACTGACAATATTGTCCGGTGATGTGTTGAGCTAATGTTTGCCACCGCGCGAACTGCTTTCG